CCCGGCTCCTTGCCCTGCGGTATCACGGGCAAGGAGACCTCGGCGGCCGGAGCTCCTTTGACGCCGTTCAGCTCCTCCTCGCCAGCGGGTCCGCTGACCCTGACGCCGGCGAGGGGATTGGCCTCGTCACCGGTAGCAGCCTGGCCGTCTCGGATCTCCTGGCTCTTGACGCTGCTGGCCTTGCTGACGTCCGCACTGGCCGGATTCTCCGCCCGCAACCCGAGATGCCTCTCCTGCTCCGGATCTTCGTGATTGTTGCCCTTCCAGTCCGCAGGCTCCATCTGCGGCACCGCTGAGCCCTCCGGCGGCTCAACTACAATCTCTCCAGGGATATTGTCAGTCTTGTCGCGGCCTGGCGCATCGTTTGTCCCGGCGAGCCGCCACACCACAGCGATGCGGTCGAGCGCGCGGGAGCCCTTGCGGCTGGACCCCTTGATGCCGTCCATAGCCTCCCAGTCAATGCTGAAGACGCCGCTGGTGTCGGGCTTGCCATCCTGCTCGGGACCGTTGCCCTCGAAGAAAGCGTTGAACCAGACGTGCGCCACGGCCGTGACCATTGTGAGGCCCAGCGACGAGGAGCTGCGGCTCCGTCGCTCGACCGAAATATTGACGTCACTGTTGGGAATCTGCACGGGCTCGGTCGGCTTCAGGATGACGGCCATGCCGCCAGGCTCAGTCTCTGCAGATGCATCCTCCGAGTACCCAGAGAGATGGCTGTTGGACGAGGCAGCCGAGTCCGTCGTGCCGTGGTGTCCAAGCCCAGTCTTGGTCTTGGTTTTAGCATTATGTAGCAGCGTCTTTGTGCGTCCGCCGAGGCGTTTCTTCGACGAGCTGCGGCTGGGTGCTTCGTCGGATGGAGAAGCAACAGCAGCACCGCCACCAACACCACCACCACCACCACCACCATCAACAGCGCGGCTCTTACGAGCCTTTCCACCGTTCGGATCCTCCAGGTTCGTGCTCTCCGCATACTCAGCCTCCTCGGGGGCGCCCTCGACGGTCCGCGCTGCCGGCACGCCAGCGAGGTCATACATCATGTGGGCGACGCCACCGCCGTCCGCCTCGGGCGCGTTCCCATCAATAATGATCCTCTCCTTCTTCGAAAACGTGTGGAAGATTTGTATCCTGCGGCCCGCATCAGCGAACCCCTCAATGTCCACCTTGACGCCGCTGCGCAGGCCCCAGACGTGAATCTCGACAATCTCGATGGGGCAGTCGACGTATTTCTTGCCGTGGCGCGCCCAGCGGTCGACGTACGAGACGGTGCGCAGCTGGCTCGGGATGGAGACGCCGGCGCCAAATTTGGGCCGCATGCGCCGCTCCGTGAAGCGCGTCAGGGCTTCCTCGGGCCGCCAGCCGCACTCGGCGATGAGGTAGCTGCAGGAGATGGTGCCGCTGCGGCCCTTGCCGGCCTTGCAGTGGACGACAGCGACGCGCTTCTTCTTGTCCTCGTCGGTGACGGGACCATCGGGTTGTGTAGTGTTGGTTTGCGTCGCATCGCTGGCGGGCTGTTTTGCTGGTGGTTCTGCTGGTGGTTCTGCAGCCGTGGTAGCGTCGACAGTCAAAGGCGCAGGGTTGCCATCGTGCAGGTCTCCGCCATGGAGCCAGTTGCGCATGCTCGCCATGATCATGGGCACGAGACGAAACGGTGGCGGGTGATGGTCAGGCCAGGGATAATGCCTGACGCGCCCGTAGACTTCCTCATCCGGGTATCCCGTTCCTTCGGCGCGAAACTCCCATATCGCCCACTCCTTGTCGTGTCTGTCGTCGAGAAACTCGACCAGTTTGTCGACGGGGTTTCGGTAGGCTTTCTGTGGCCAGGTCGAGGAGGGGCCCGATCTGCGGGAGAGGTCAACAGGCAGTTCATCACTTGGTCTAGCAGCAGCAGCAGCAGCAGCAGCAGCAGCACAGGGAGAAGGAGGAGGTTCTTACGTCGCGATAATGTCAGAGGTCACGTAGCACAGATCAATCCCAGCCTCGGGATGCTGTGATCGCGGCCCAGCAACAATCTGCCTCAGTATGGAGGCCATTCTGCCAAGGACTCAGCTTAGAGGCTCGGCTCGGCTCGTTTGCAATGCAGTGCAGAGATGAAAGTGCGTGTTCGAAAAGGGACGTTGGAAAGAATGTTGCCAAGTTGCCGCAGGAAAAACAAGTGACAAGAAATAAAACGATTTGTGCCTTGTACCGTACTGAGCCTGACGTGGCCGAGGAGGAAGGGAGGTCGAGGCCTCCCGGCAGCCTTGGAAGGGGCAAGGAGAGTCGACGCCGTGTCGATAGCCTGAGCGACAGCGCCCCGCGTCCACTGTTTGGAGCAGTTGTCAGGACCCAATTGCAGTGGACGCATCTGGGCGACGTCATCCGAGGGCACAGAGGCAGCTCGAGGGCGCAAGCACGCTGATGGGGTGAGGTCCTTAGTGGATCCCGCCCGCCGTGGTGCCATGGTGTCACGCTGTAGTGGTGCCGTCCTGCCGTGGCATCATGGTGGGGTTCATCTGCTTGTCTCTCTCTCCTGTGGCTCACCCTTCCCCCGCGTCTGTGGCTGGTGACACGCCATGATCGACTGGGAATCCCTTGCCACCCACAAACCACCAAGCACGAGCAGCAAGCACAGCTACATACCTACCTACCTTGGTCAAGTAAGCTAAAGCTCACAGGCACACAACTCACAGCCCACAGCCCACAGCCCACAGCCCACAGCAGCACGACGCGCTTTACATGATCATAATCTTGACTCGGAAACACTATCGCAGGAAGACACAAAACACGGAAAACCCATGGCCCATGGGCTCATGACCTGTGCAGCTCGATGAGGCACCAGGCAACAGGCACCAGGCACCCCAAGCGGGGGAATCTCGCTCGCCCAGAATCGCCAACACCCCAGCCCCCAAGGGAATGGATCACAGAAAAATGAAAAAACAAAGCCATGTAGACCGACCGCCGAGAGCCGAGTAAAGAAATGCCACGTTTCGTTTCCTTGATCATTTGTCGTCTTCATCCACAGCCTCTCCCCTTGTCTCCTTCCCTGCTGTTTTTACCGCCTGTCTCTCGTCCTTTCTCATTGATCAACCTCGTAATGGCTGGTGCTTGCAGCCGGACACATCTCATAACGTCGTGGTCCCTGTCTGTACTCGGTCCCTTGACTACCAGGGGCCTGTCCACGCACATCGCCTTCGACACGGGCACGGTGCGGTACGCTGTCACGCCGGAGGGGCGGTCGCGTCTCCCGGCGTGCAGCGGCTTGAACGACGTGTTGCCGTTTAGGACGTCTTCTTGGGCGCCGCAGCACCGCTGAGGTAGCGGTTGGCGTCCGTGAGGTTGTAGAACTGGCGGACGCCGTTCTTGACGGCCTCCCAGACCTGACGAGCCTGGGGAGGCGTGCCCTGGTTGCCGACGGCCGAGTCGACGCGGGCCTCGAGCTCGCTGACACTGTTCTGGATGTGCGAGCTCTGGGCGAAGCGCGCACGCAGGAACGCCGTGTAGATGACAATCAGGATCCACGAGCGGCGCTGGAAGAGAATGGCCGAGAGCAAAACGCGGGAACCACAGGGCGAGCTCAAGCTTGCCGACGAAGGAACATGGGAAAAGTCGTAGTACTGCTTTACAAAGGCACGATCTGTCAGCAACGCGTTCGTCTGCGCTTGCAGCGCGGGCGAGTCGCGCGGCGGCGACGCCGCTTGGCGGCGAGATGGTGGGAATCAGGTTGGCGCGCGAGTACGTGGCACGTGGAAGATGGAGTAGATGGTGTAGGGCAGAAGCGCAGGGGGTACTGAGGGGCGAAGAAGCCAGACGAGGGCATGCCTGGAGAGGGGTCAGCGGTCTAGGTCTGGGTCGGCGTGGGAAGGACAGGCAACGGCGTGGGAAGGACAGGTAAAGGCGTGGAAAGAAAGGCGACGGCGCGGCATACCGAGGTACTGGACGTTCTCATCGCTGAGGATGGTGATGGGGTTCTGGAGGTTCTTGGCGCCGGAGCGAGCGCGCGCCCTCCAGGTCTTGTAGACAACGATGCCGTAGGTGACGGCGGCGGCGACAAAGGCGGTGCGGTAGGAGAACTGCGCCATGCCCGAGTAATAGTTCAGGCGGATCCACGAGAAGCCGTAGCGGATCGTGCAGAGGATCAGGACAGCATGGCTAGAGAGGCATGGTCAGCATTGTTGTCTCGAACGTCTCGAGGCGCTCGATAGTCTCGTTCCTTGTCGGGGCCGTCGGACGACGCCGGAGTGGAGAGGCTTGCGCTCGGAGAGGGGGAGGGGGAGGTTGAGCGGGTGCGTGTGGGCTCCGCAAGTGCAGGACAGGCGAGACAGGCACACGACACATGCCACGATGCAGGACGTTCGGGGCGAAGGAGAGACATACCCAGCGAACCAACCGACTGAGAAAGACGAAGGGTCAGCAAGACGTCAAAAGCGGGCATGAGGCCAAACGCAAAAGAGCGCAAAAGAGCGGTGGACAAAACTGAACATACATTGCAGCGTCTGGGCGAGCTGGAGGAGGCGCTGTTGCAGCGGCAAATCAGCCGACGGAGGGGGAGCCATGATGAAGGTCGGGATCTCTGGGAGAACAGCGAACAGGAAGCTCGTAGCGTCGAAAATGCGAGTGATCGTGGGGGGGGGTTGGCTGGCGGGAAGGGTTGAACCTGAGGGAGCAGGAGGGAGTTTGAGGGGGAGGAGAAGTGATGCTGTCGAGGGAAAGCTGGCAAGAAGTGAACAGCGACGACAAAAGCGGTCGGTGTCGGTGGTCGGGGGTGGGTAGATGTGGATTAGGATGTTCAGTGGCTGGCACGAGCAAAATGGAGCAGCTCACATCTCTGTGCTCCTCTCAGTGCTCCTCTCTTCTGTGCTGCGAGTGAACCGTGCAGCAGGTGCAGGCTGGTCTGTGCACCACCTGCGTCACTGCCTCTTCTTCTCAGCTCCTCCCTGTTCGCGCGCAATCGCTCTCGGGAAGGGGCGAAGACGTAACCTTGGCTTGCAAGTTGGCTTTCAGGGTCTAGCCGAGCGGGGCTTTCTCTCGTTCTCCTCCTCCCGCCTCTAGGGATTCGACGTTGCTTGCTACTGATAGGTGATGGTGAAAAAGCTCCGGGTGATCTGCCCTTTGAGCCTCTTCGTCTTGGTGATGGCATCTGTAGTTGTGCTCAAAGGGGGGGTTTATTTTTTCACCAATTTCTGGGGCTTCGTTCGCTGTGCGCACAAGATCACCCCAGGCCCAAGACGACACTCCTCCGATGCTTCTAGGTCGCTCCATAGGGAGATTGCTGTGAGACAACGGCCATAGAGGACGTCACTGTTCCTCAAGTTCCAGTCTTTTCTCTCCTCACAACCTGAACGCGGCAAAGGTGGTTCGCAATCAAGCAGACAGCTCTCCATGCCGTCATTTCGTCATCGTCCATCACCTCGACGCCGCTTGTTCTGACGCCGTCTCAGGTACTAGAGAGCTTTGGCCAATTAGGTGGAGTCGCTCGTGAGCTTTCGGTTACACTGTACAAGGCTCCCACTTCTCACACATATACAGTGCGCCTTGAACAAGCACCAATTGGGGCTGATAGGGTGCTCCGTCGGCAGGTGTGGCCTGTGATAGCTCCTCCACGAATTGAGAAATGTTGAGACCGCCGAACAGAGTCGTCTCCGGCAACTCCTGCAACAATCACCGCCCGCCGTCTTGCCCGTTGAAGCGCACGCGTCGATAAACCCTCATTGACCGAGCATGCCACCCAAAGCCGCCGCTCGGAACGAATACGTTCATCCAGAGGCGAGCCATGCCAAAAAGAAGTGCGTCAGGGTCTTAGATGTCAACCCAAACCATCGCCCCCCCCCCACCCCACCACCCTACGTTGGCAGACTTGAGCCTCCCTCCTGCTGACCATCACCATCGCCTCCAGGGTCCCCAGCGCGTATGGCATCCAGCCCATCACCGCCTTCTACTGCTTCCTGACGGCCAACCTCATCTCTGCCGTGTTCGCCCCGATCCAGGACTGCGACGAAACGTTCAACTATTACGAGCCCACCCACTACATTTCTCACGGTTATGGCCTCCAGACCTGGGAGTACTCGCCCGACTATGCCATTCGCAGCTGGCTCTACGTGGTCATCCACGCTGTCGTAGGAAACTTGCGCCGCCTGCTGCCTCAGACGAGCAAGGTGGGCGAGTTCTACTTCATCCGCTATGCTCTCGCCATCGCCTGCGCCCTGTGCCAGGTCCTCCTCTTCCGCGTCGTGAGCACCACGCTCAATGCACGGATTGGCATCATCTTCCTCTTTGCCACCGTCTTCAGCGCCGGAAACTTCCACGCCAGCACCGCCTTCCTGCCCTCGAGCTTCGCCATGTACGCCAGCATGCTCGGTGCCACGGCCTTCATGAACTGGCGCGGTGGCCTCAAGACGTCCCAGGGGATCGCCTGGTTTGCCGCTGGTGCCGTAGTGGGCTGGCCGTTCGCTGGCGCCCTCTGCATTCCGTTCCTGGTCGAGGAGGGCCTCATGGCTCTGTTTAGCGACAAGGAACGGTTCATCGAAGCCATCTGGCGTGTGACGCGCGGTGTCACAGGGGCCCTTATCCTAGTGGTACGTCTTGCCCGACGGCCAGACGCTGTGTACTTTGTACCCTCGACTGACAAATGCAGGCCTTTGATACCGCCATCAACACCTTTTTCTACCGAAAGCTGGAGATCATTCCTTGGAACATCATCAAGTACAATGTCCTGGGCGAAACCGGCGGGCCCGACCTCTATGGCACCGAGCCCTGGACCTTCTACTTCCGCAACCTGACCCTGAACCACAACATTTGGTTCGTCTTGGCTCTGCTCTGCCTGCCGCTGTTCCTCCTCCAGAAGGTTTTGTCGCCGTCGAGCCAGGGTTTCCAGACAGGTCTGCGGGCGCTCATCTTCATCTCACCTTTTTACCTGTGGCTCGGCATCTTCACGTCCCAGCCGCACAAAGAGGAGCGGTTCATGTACCCGGCGTACCCGTTCCTCGCCATCAACGCTGCCATGTCGCTTCACATTCTTCTCGGCGCCTTGGGCCAGAGTGATCCGAAGACTCTGGTCGGTAAGATTCCGGCCAAGCTCAAGCTTGTGGTCGTGACACTCACCATGATCCTGTCCCTCGACATCGGCCTCGCGCGCATATACGGAATCTACTCGGCCTACTCGGCGCCTATGCGTATCTATGCACCACTTACCAACGGCATCGGCGGCTCGGGCGATTCGGTTTGTTTCGGCAAGGAGTGGTACCGCTTCCCGTCCTCGTACTTCCTGCCGCGCGACATGCGGCCTAAGTTCGTGCGGTCCGAGTTTCGTGGCCTTCTACCGGGGGAGTTCTCGGAGGCAAGGATTGGATTCGGCTTTTGGAGCGGCACATGGCTGCCTACAAGCGGCTTGAACGACCGCAACCAGGAGGACCTCAGCAAGTATGTTGAGCCTCGCATGTGTTCCTTCATGGTCGACACGCAATTTCCTGCGAGGACAGAGCCGCTGCCACCCAATGAGCCGGACTACGTTGCCGACGAGGAGAACTGGGAGGTCGTCAAGTGTGTGCCCTTCCTAGATGCCGCCAATACCCACCCATTAGCAAGAGCTATCTGGGTGCCCGAGGTGTCGGTGGTACCGGAAAAGTACCAGAGGAAGTGGGGGCGGCACTGCCTCTTGAAGAGAAAGAAATGAGCATCGTCGGTGTACTGATGCATGTACAATGTGGCATGGCCTTACGGAAAGATACCTCGGAATAGACTGACACCTGGTTTGGGGAGAACCAGGATCCTTTGTAACCATGAATGGACTTCCACTGCCAACGCCACGTCCTATGCGCACCGATGACACGATAAACATGCGGAGAGTGAACCAAGAACACATGAGGGGGACAGGGGGGGGGGGAAGGGGGGGGGGAGGCCTGTTTCTCCGGCACCGCGTCGTTTGCCAACCCCGCGCCCCGCCTCCAACCCCCCGGGCCAGCGTCCTCCCCGCCGATCCTTCCATGCATTGGGGCTACGTCGCGCCCTCTCTTTGACCCGATGGCCGAGGCGGGATCGCCATTTTGCGTTTTGGTATTGACAAGCTTAAGCGCAGGCTAAACAAGGTCCAGCACCACGCCCATGCTGATCAACTCATGACTCGGCCATGGCATCTGTGGAGACCCAGATCCGGGGCCCCGGACCTGGGGCCTTTCGGCACATTGAGAGACGACAGCCGCCCCGGTTGGGCTGTCCACTCGGCAACTGACAAAGGTTTAAGAAGACTGTATTGTCGCTGAGTTGCTCTCGGTCTGTGACACCCGTCAGCGTTGCTTGCAGCGTACCGTGAACAATGATGCGCTGCCTCCCGATCCTCGCCAGCTTCGCCACGGTCGTCGCCGCCGGCCCCGGCTGCTGGCGCAACTCGACGTGTTCGCATCCGACCGAGCCTTCGTTCCCCGGCATCTGGGAGAAGAATATCTACGCCCCTTACTCGCGCACCGCGCGCCCTGCCTCCGTCCTCTCGCTGGCAGACGCCTCTGTCCTCTCTTCGTTTCCCGGGCATGACGCGACCCGCACTCTCAAGGGCAACGGCTCGGCCCTTGTCTTCGACTTTGGCGTCCTCGTCGGCGGTCTCACGTCCGTCTCGTACACGGCCAACACCGGCGCGCCGGCGACGCTCGGTCTTGCCTGGACCGAGGCCAAGAACTGGATCGGCGAATACTCTGACTCGTCCAACGGCAATTACCGCGGGCCCGGCCAGGCCCTCATCAGCGAGGACGGCGCTCTCTATGCGCCTGTGAAGCGAAGCCGCCGGTAGCAGCGCAACTATACGGTCCCGTTTGCGCAGCTGCGGCGGCGGGGTTCCGCTACCTGACGGTCTACCTCTTGACCAACGACACGGCAGCGAGCGTGACGCTCGATGATGTCTCGCTGGAGATTGTCTTCCCGCCTACCTGGTCGAACCTGCGTGCCTACCAGGGCTACTTCCACTCGCCCGACGAGGAGCTCAACCGCATCTGGTACGCAGGCGCCTACACGCTGCAGACCAACGCCGCACCGCCCGAGACGGGCCGCGTCGTGACGGAGGATATCTGGAACGGCGGCTGGAAGAACGACGCATGGCTCGGTGTCGGCGAGTCTCTGCTCCTAGACGGCGCCAAGCGCGACCGCTGGATTTGGCCCGGCGACATGGGCGTCGCTGTGCCCGCGGCCTTTGTCAGCACGGGTGATCTCGAGAGCGCCCGCAACGCCATCGAGACCATGTTTGAGTTCCAGGAGCCGAGCGGCATCTTCCCGCGCGCCGGTCCGCCGTACCTCGACGCCACAAGCGACACGTATCACATGTGGACCATGATCGGCGCGTACAACTACGTCCTCTATTCGGGTGACCTCGACTGGCTCAACGCCCACTGGGCCACCTACCGCAAAGCCATGGACTACATCTACGGCAAGGTCCTGCCGGCGCCGTCGGGCCTGCTCAACGCCTCAGCGACTGGCGACTGGGCGCGATACATCAACTCGATGAATGGCAGCGCACCCAACATGCTCCTCTACCGCACCCTGCAGACGGGCGCCTGGCTCGCCGAGCTGGCACCGGAGGATTCGTCAAATACGATCAACCTCACCGAGACTTGGCTTGCGCAAGCTGTCGAGCTCAAGTCCGCCATCATGACCCACCTCTGGGACGACAACAAGGGCGCCTTCATCGACGGCTGGAAGAACCGCACACTGTATCCTCAGGACGCCAACAGCTACGCCCTGGCCTTTGGCGTGCTGGACCCGGCCTCGGACGAAGCCGCCGCTGTGTCGACTGCGCTAACGCAAAACTGGACACCCATCGGCCCTGCTTCCCCTGAGCTTCCGGGCAATATCTCACCCTTCATCAGCTCCATCGAGCTCGAGGCGCACTTTGCCGTGGGTCGCGCCGATCGTGCCCTGCAGCTGATCCACGATTCGTGGGGATGGTACATCAACCACCCCAATGGTACGGAATCCACAGTCATCGAGGGGTACCTGGTGGATGGTTCCTTTGGCTACCGGTCGACGCGTGGTTACACCAACGATCCCAGCTATGTGAGTCACGCACACGGATGGAGCGCCGGGCCGACTCATGCTCTGACGGAGTCCCTCGTCGGTCTCAAGGTGACGGGGCTTGCGGGCGCGACGTGGACGCTGAAGCCCGTCTTCAACCAGCTACCCTCGGCGCAGGCCGGCTTCACGACGAATCTGGGCAAGTTTAGCGCTAAATGGGAAGTCAGCAATGGGGTGGCCACCATTGAGTGGGAGACGCCCACGGGCACCAAGGGCTGGCTAGATCTCGGCCGTGAGAAGAAGTGGGTGGAGGGCGGAACGGGCAAGACAGTGGTCAAAGTAGGCGGGGGGACATTGTGTCCCAAGGCCGAAGCCGCAATGAATGGAAGTTACGAGGTCGGTGCATGTGTCTCCCTGTGCCCGTCAAAGACAGACCAGAAAGGCAACAAGGCGGCAAGGGGATTGGTGAGGGTATGATACGAAGTCCCAG